TAAGCTAAGTAGCCACGCAGTTCCGACAAAAGAGATAAAAGGCTATAAAATAAAAAGCAATAAAAATCAAAATAAAAATCCAAAATAAATAAAATAATAACAATAAAACATTTATAAAAATAATCTTGACAAAGTCGTATCATTCACATCGCATCATGTTATGAGTGGAAAAATCAAGAGAGAAAAATAAGTGCGTAAGGAAAGTATGCATACGCAACATTTTAATAAACCCCTAAAAAATGGGTCTTAGAGTCATTTTTTGGGAAAATTACTGGGTCAAATCCCCTTCGGGTATTTGCAGCCTGATTCCTCACCTTTTTCTCTTCGTTTTGATATGTTGTGCGTCCCAATCGGACATCTCAGTCAAAAGTTATCGCACTTTGAACATATACTGCCCTTTTGTACTGGTGCATGCATAAATACATTCATTCTAGGGAGCACTAGATATCCCTAAGCCAATGGCGAAAGAGGCCCCAAACACATTTGTGACCTTCGCGACAAGGAAGGGACAAGTGTACTAAGGTGAGATGGTGATTGCCATTATACTTGTCAAATCTGTGATGGGGAAGGAACCATTACACCGAGGTGGGTAGGATACCCCACAAAGCGTAAGCTTTAAGGAGGATACCTAAGCCATTGTCTTAAGGAATATCCATCTCATAAATCATTCAATAAAAATCTCTTTGCATTCTAGAAAGCGGCTGGCATTCTTCATACCCTCATCCGCATACAAAAAACACAAAATCTCAAACACTATCATACATCATGTTAGAAAATAAAACGTGATAATGTTTAGGAAAAAACAAACAATTGCATACATGCATCCACCAATCTTCATCCTTATAACATCATCTAGAAGTAGGCGGTTGAAGAAAGTGGACATTCCTCAATACCATGTGAAGAGGATAAGGCATTCGCATGCCATACAAGGGAAGTAAAAAAGAAAATAAATAAAAATATTTACCCGCCTATGGGTTCATTTAGGCTTCTCCGTTTTTTTTTAAAAAAAAAATGTACTTCGAAACATTGCATTGAGGAATGTACATTGTCTGGATGAAATAAATAAAATTGTTTGTTTTCATCATCTCTTCAAACGTCTATTACATTCATAAATTGCATTCATTCTCACTTTAACAATAATAAGATAATAAAAAGAAAGGATTAGTCGATGTGCTTTCTATGAATCAGAATAAAATGGAGTAAGCCTTTCGTCATCAAGTTCTCCCCAATGGTTGATCCGCCTAAGGAGGATAACAAGCCTCAACCATTGGATATCCAAGTCAATAAGGAAGAGGGGGCAAGGATGCCGTTACATTTATTTATGTCTCGAACCAAATAAAGTTGTACCATTGAGATACACAGAAACATCGTCCATCAATCTCCAGCATAGCCAACATTCGGGGCAAAATTGGAAGTGAAACAATCTACACCTCCAGGAGCTATAAGACAATGCTCCCAAGAATAAAGGAAAAATAATAAGACCGAAGAAAGACATAATCCAAAGAGGAAACTGAAGAGACTTTGGATTCATGACGCTAAGGCAATTCACGATGCTCCGCCAAAAAGACAAACTCAGGGTAGGCGACAAGCTAGTCACAGTTTGAGCTAGAGACGACATTCAGATCATCAAATCGTCTCCCCTACCTTGAATGGATGCGGCGGAAGAGGACCTTTTGAAATATCTTTTGCCAATATGAAAAGACTTCGCCAACAATATGAAGGTGACCCACATGATGAGAAAATATGGATATCGCCCAAACCAAGGGCTCATTAGAAACTCTCAAGGAATAAGGGAGCCACCAGATTTTAAAGACAATCCTTTAAAGCATGGTCTAGGGCATGACCCTACAAAGGATCAAGCTACATGGAGAAAAGGGAAGTCTCCCCTCTGAAGCTCGAATCAGATTTTCCCAAATAGAGGGGTTCAAGCATCAAAAGAGACTTTAGTCATGTTCTCCTTCTAATTCTTAGGGTTCGTAAATCCAATGACTATTAGAGATTACTCCTCGGGGCTAGCCCGACCCCCGAGCATTGTAGGGCACACATTTCTCTATTAATTACAAAGAATGTCATTCTTACTATCTGCTTCTCTTCTTGCTATTCATGTCTAAACCTCATTAATAACCATGTTTAAGCAAACGTTTTCAAAAATGCGTCAAAATGCGCCATAGTCAAAATAATCAAACCACTCATCACCACTGATTGACTAGAAACACAAAATAAAATTTTATCTCGTCATAAATAAAGTCGTGTTTCGCCAATGTTGTACAAAAAGAAAACAAAAATCAAAAGAAGCCCATAAAAAGCTAAAGGCCAAAAAGAGAGGGCAAGATACCTGGTAGGAAACCCACTAAGGGGGCTACGCAAAAGATAGGGTCAACCCGGTAGGGGACACCCGAACAAAAATAAAGGGTAGCCTAGGAAAAAGTTAGGGTTACAAAATAAGGTCCGCTAGGATTCCCCGAAAATATACAAAAAGAAGGAACCTAGACAAAAGATAGGGCCAAAACACAACATCCTAGACTGAAAACCTAAAGGGCAGACTGGGGAAGTCAATCAGTCATAGCAAGCGCCATAGAATAAGACGTCACTCCATAAACAAAACGTTTGTCTAAACTAGCCTAAACACTCTAACCAACCTTGGCTAGCCGTGCTTACAAAAACCATTTTTGTCAAAATAAAACAAATCTAAAACACAAGCCTTTGAATTAAATATCCTCTTCTTTCTCTTCTCTTGACCCTTACTACTACAACATTCTAGTAATTAGTAGGGAAATGTGGAGATAGTAATCAATAGGAGGATTGACATCCCCAAGGAAAGGGAGGGGCGCACTGACATGGCAAGTCGCTCTGAAATCAACACAATCATTCTTCGGTCACGGTAAAATCAAGACGGCAAAATGGGTACAGCCTATCCCTGTCGACGAAAGCACATAACGTCAGAAGCTCATCAGAAGTAAAAGCACATTGGTTAATCCTTTTGAAAAATTAATTGAAATAGTGTTATAGGATGCGTATCTCCAACATTGCATGCATATGATAGGCTCCTATCTCTCAAAAAAAGAAGAGAAAGAAAAAATGACAATGCCTGCTAGGAGATTCTTAGACAAAAGTTAGGGTAGCCTGCTAGATCGAAAACCCGCAAAGGGCGGTCTAGGCAAAAGTTAGGGCATTCATAAAAAAGGAAAAAACCCGCTAAGATATCCTAGGCAAAATTTAAGGCAGCCCGCTATACCGAAAATCCCAAAAGGGCGGTCTAGGCAAAAGATAGGGCTAAACCAAAAAATGAATAAAAGAGAGGGGTATTTCATCATAATCGTAAAGAGTCCAGCAGGAGAATGCCAGTCACTTTTCCAGATGCATCAATAAAAAAGAATAGATTACATTCAGGGCATCCACACACAAGTAGTCGCACAAAACGACTTTGTCAATGTCAAAAATGAAAGAAATAAAAATTACTTCAGACAAATAACAAAAAACTAAAAGAATTCATGCATATAAGGAGACTAGCTCCGTGTTTGTGATTGAAAAAAAGGATCACTGAGACTGAGTCTCCAAATAATGCCCTCAAGAAAACGGAGCAAGTCGTCAATCAAGCAACTCAGCGGAATAAGAGCTTCTGAAAATTAAGAGCTCTAGCTACCATCCTTCTACCCAGAAAAGAAGGCACAAGAAAGTAATAAGTCTCCAAACATTGCTCTCCCTCAAGAAAGAAGAGCGAGTTGTCATAAGAAACTTCCAGAAGCCAAAGCTCCAGTCATCATTTTTCTACCCAATAAAAGAGGGCACAATCATCAGACATCATAAAAGAAAAGCCAACGGAAAGGCTTAGTCATCCCCAAGAGGATCCCTGCCTACTCCGAAGGCAAAACAAAAACATTCCTCACAGCTCAGCATTACCACTACATGAGTCATCGAGCACACTCACCCAAAGTCTCCTCCACACTCCCCAATGGAGAATAAAGGCTTCAAGAGCCCATCATCATCAACAGTCAAAAGAGTCCAATCTCCATACCAACAAGGGCTCAACAAAAAAAGGAAAAAAGAAGAAAACCCTTGCATCCCCAGCGGATGTCCAAAAAGGCCATGACAGAGAAGGCCGAATAAAAATCCTCAAGTGGATCTCCAAAAAATTCAACAAAAAAAGAATCAGAAATTCCCACTCTCCAGTGGAATAAGAGCTTCATAAGTTTAGCTCGCATCAACATCAATCAAGGAGACAAAACTCCATCCCTAGAAAAGCAAAAATCAGATCCCCAGGAAGTCAACCAATTCCCTGGTGGATCACCAAAGAAAGAAAACGCATCCCTAGTGGACCAACCAAAAGAAGGAAAAAGCCAGCGTAATAAAAAGAGACTAAAAAGTAAAAAGGCTTACGCATTATCCCGAAAAAGCCAAATTTCAAAATCGCGAAAAAAAGAGATAAATCGCGAAAAAAGGTGAAATCAAATGAAAATCCTTGCTCCCTAAGCGGGTCACCTCAGGAAAAGAAAGAATCAAAAAAGGAATTGGAAATTCCATTCCTTCAACAAAATAAGAGCACCACATAAGCCAGCTCGCACCCACATCAATTAAGGAACTCCATTCCCTCAGGGGGCAAATCAAAATTAGATCCCTGGAAAGGCAATCAATTCCCCGGTGGATCACCAAAAAGAGAAAAATCATCTCCAGTGAGTCTACGACAAAGGCAAATTCCAAACTCACATCCTTAGAAGAGTCATTTGCCTAGGCATAGGCAAGATCTGGCGAACAAGAGCCAATTTCCCCAGAAAGGGACATCAACCTATTCGGAGGCAAGCAAGTATAAAGTCTTCACCACTAATGAAGCATCCGCCTACTCAGAGGCACAGCAAACAAAAAAACAAAAAAACTCCATTTCCCCAGAGAAATAAGAGCTTGAAGAAACCAGCTCTCATCAACACCAAACAAGGAGTCACAACTCCATTCCCCAAAAGGCGACCAAAATTAGATCCCCAAGGAGTCAACCAACTCCCTAGTAGATCACCAAAAAAACTTACCCAGAGAGCCTACTGCAAAGGCAAAACTTGAAACGCATATCCTCAGAAAGCTACTTGCCTAATATGGATATCCCTAGTGGAACGCATAGGCAAAACCTTGCAAGCAAAATAGCAACATTAGCCTATTCAGAGGCAAAGAAAAAAGCAAAACCAAAAGTCTTCACCTCCAAACGGAACATCTGCCTACTCAGAGGCATTACCAAAAACTCAATGGATATCCGCCTACTCAAGAGGCGTCACCAAGATCAACAAATCCCTAGAGGATTCCTGCCTACCTAAGAGGCACTCATCAAAAAATTCCCGACAACCAGCAAAGTCAAATGACCACCACAAAAGATCAAAAACAAAGAATCCCCAGCAATCAACAAGCTGGACGAACACCAACAGAATCCCCGGCACAGACCGGACGACAATTCCCAGAAAAGACAAAAAACAAAGACAGAACACATCTCAACAACGGCGCATGGGCCACTTGAACAGTAAGCCGCCACTACCACCAGTCCTACGCAGTGGACTGTACCAGCCTGATAGGGGGTTTATACCTATCAACCTGCGCACGCGTTGCGCCTGATCAACGCTCGAGCCGGATCAGTAAGTCGCACTACCACCCTGATGGGGGGATCATACCCATCCAGTCCCACACAACGGACTGTACCACCCTGATGGGGGGATCATACCCATCCAGTCCCACACAACAGACTGTACCACACAACGGACCGTACCAGCCTGATGGGGGGTTCATACCCATCCAGTCCCACACAACAGACTGCATCTACCAGCCTGATGGGGGGTTCATACCCATCAACCGAAGGATCGGCTACCGTTAGAAGGAGTATCCTGAGGTTTTACCACGTGTCCACCAAAGGGATCGGCTACGTCAGAAGTAGTATCTTGGAAGTGCACGAACACCAAAGTTTTCCCCAGAAGATCAACCGCCGCAAGACGGGGCATCTGAAGGGCAACCGGGTAAGAGGGTCAACTCCTTTACCTTCCTGTCAATCTGTCTGGCACAACAGGCCAACAACTGACTAGTCAGGTAAAGGGGGGGCAGCTGTAGACCCCAAATCTTGCTCGGCCTCCAAATAAAGAGTAGAAGACCTCCTATTCGAAGATGGATGAAGCCTAAAAAGCCACTAGGAGAGACTATTAGGCCCCCATACTAGGATAGGAAGGATTTTTCGTACGAAAATAAGTTTTCTCGCCTCTTTGGGACGAGACCGCCGTCTCGCCTCAGGCAAGTGGCGAGACCGCCGTCTCGTTTGATGAGACGGCAGTCTCGCTACCTGCGAATGGCGAGACGGCGATCTCGCTTCCCCAGATGGCGGTCTCGCCACCTGCGAATGGCGAGACAGCGGTCTCGTTTGGCGAGACGGTGGTCTCGCCATCCGCGCAGGACGAGACGACGGTCTCGTTGGGCGAGACGGCGGTCTCGACCCTGTCAGACGAGAACGGCGGTCTCGCCACTGACATGCGCGAAAACCTATAAATAGGGGCTCTCCCCCCCTCATTTCCACACACCTCAAGCATTAACTCTGCCTTCTCTCTAAAAACTTCTCTCTATAATCCCTCCGACGCATTTCTGGAGTTTCTGAGTGTCTTTGAGAGCATTTTTTCGACGTCCAGAAGAGTTTTCGGCGTCTTGTAGAGTGAAGGGCTGCCAAAAAGCACCCATTTCTTTTAAAGAAATATAAAAAGCTTGCTTCGGAGGTTTAATTTCTCCCTCTCTACTTTTAACGCTTTAATTTTAATTATGCAATAGATTAGGGCCATGTAGTCATCACTTTAAATTCCGCACAATAAAAAGGGCAAAAGCATATTTTTCGGTTTATTTATTAACAATAAAAGTTGGCCTGTCATAGGGAACCCCGAAAGGGCCGTCGTAAAGGCACTAATACTCCCTTTACACGTAACTAACTCCCTTACCCAACTCTGGTTCTAATGACCAAAGTTGGTTTTTGAAAACCAACGCCTTTAAAAACCCCTTTTCCGATGTTTCTGGTAAAAACATTGGTGGCGACTCCGTAGAACCCCTCAAAATTAGTCCTTGGGTTAGCCCGGTTATCGGACAACCCAAGGACGCCCTTTCGAAAACCTCGCCCCTAGGTTAGCCCGATTATCGGACAACCTAAAGGCGTTGTAACCACCCATAAAAAACGCGAAAAACAAAAAGGGTCGAAACCATCGCGTCACTCCGACCGCCTCTCTCTTTTTGACGGCGGCGACAAGGGACATAGCTTCGACGTCAAGGAGGAGGCAGACATGTGTTTGGTCAAGAACATCCAGTTCCCACCAAAATTCAAGTCCCAGACTTCCCCAAGTATGCTGGAATGAATTGCCCTAAGAATCATCTTACGATGTACTATCATAAGATGGCTGCACACAATGAAAACAAGAAACTCCTGATCCACTGCTTCTAAGAGAGCCTGGCTGACTTAGCCCTCAATTGGTACATGCAGCTAGAGAAGGGGCAAGTCCAAAATTAGAAGCAGTTGGCGGATTCCTTCCTCCATCGTTACCGATATAACATCGATTTGACCCCAGATAGGTTAGATCTTAGGACGCTTAGCAAGAAGAACGACGAGTCCTTCAAGGCATACGCCCAAAGGTGGAGGGAGATGGCTGCCCAGATAGAGTCCCCCACTGATAAACAAGGAGACGATGGCTATGTTCATTAATTCATTGACAAGAGCTTACTATGACAAGGCGATAGCCATTACATCCAACCTTTTTTCGGATATAGTCATTGTGGGGGAGAGAGTGGAACAAGGGTTAAGAAGCGGGAAGATAGCGCAATCTTCCCTTTCCAACGTCTCATTCAGAAAGCCCTCCAACAAAAAGAAGGAGGAGGTTGTGCATGCGATTAACCTCGCTACTCCTTCTTCTTCCCTACAGACGGTTCAACAACCACGCAAAAAGGAAAGAAAAGTCACTCCTCTTTCAACCTCCTATGGGAAGCTGCTGCCCCAGCTGCTAGAGGTCAAGCTCCTGGCCCATGCCCCTCTCGAGAAGATAGAGCCTCCTTATCCCGAGTGGTACAAACCAAATGAGAAATGCGACTACCACTCGGATTCGCCCGGGCATTCAACGAAGAATTGCTTGACCCTGAAATATAGGGTCCAAGACCTAATCGATGTCGGGTGGATAACATTTGATGCCTCCACCTCCGATGTAGATGCCAAACCTCTCACAAAGCTAGAGTGAAAGGAGGGAAGGATTGGGAGGATCAGCTTATAGGGTTTCTTTTTCTTTTTTCAAATCTTTTCTTGTATTTCCCGCGGTCCCTACCCGTGGCCATGGGAACACTGATTAAAAGGGCTACATGAGGCATTTTTCATCATATCATATTCATTCTCATTCTTTTCCCTCTTCTATTTATTATTCTTCCAAAAATAATTGAATAATAAAATCTATGACTAAAATAGAACCTAAAAACAATCATATCTGTGATTGATGAATCTCTGTAGGACCCAGAAGCCAAAGGCGAATGGGTCGAGTCTGACAGTGAGCAGGGGACCATTTCCCCAGACATACAGATAATGCTAGAGAAAGAAACTCGCATCATACAACCGCATCAAGAGGAAATAGAAACTATCAATTTGGGACAAGGTGACGATAAGAAACAGATAAATATCGGCACCCAGATTGATAGTGACATCAAGGAGGGATTGATAGAAATTTTGAAAGAATACGTGGAAATTTTCGCTTGGTCTTATCATGACATGCCCGAGTTCGATACAAGCATAGTGGAACATCGTTTGCCTTTAAAAGAGGGATTTTGCCCCGTGAAACAAAAGCTCAGGATAATCAAGCCAGATTGGTCCTTAATGATCAAGGAGGAAGTGCAAAGACAACTAGACGCCAACTTCCTTATCGTGTATAAATACCCTGAATGGATAGCAAACATAGTGTCTGTCATCAAGAAAAACGGTAAAATCAGAGTATGCATGGATTATAGGAACCTAAATCGAGAAAGTCCAAAGGACGACTTCCCCCTACCACACATTGACACTTTAGTGGATCACACCGCTACAAACATGCTTTATTCCTTCATGGACGGATATGCGGGGTATAATCAAATCAAGTTGGCCATCGAAGATACGGAAAAAACCTCCTTCATCACACCGTGGGGTACCTTTTACTGTAGGGTAATGCCTTTTGGGCTAAAAAATGTAGGGGCTACCTATCAGAGGGCTATGGTCACATTATTCCACGACATGATCCACAAATAAATAGAAGTATATGTGGATGACATGATTGCCAAGTCCAGAAATGAGGCGGATCATATTCAATATCTTAAGAAGCTGTTTGATCGACTTCGAAAGTATCAGCCTAAACTGAACCCAACAAAATGTACTTTCGGAGTACGGTCAGGCAAACTCCTAGGGTTCATCGTCAGCCAAAAGGGAATCGAAGTAGAGCCTGACAAAACAAAGGCAATTCTGGAAATGCCCCCACCAAGCACAAAAAAGGAGGTTAGAGGATTTTTGGACCAAATCAACTATATTGCCAGGTTCATCGCACAGCTGACAAACAAATGTATATCCATCTTTAAGCTATTGCGTAAAAACCAGCCAATGATGTGGAATGAAGAATGTCAACAAGCGTTCGATAAGATCAAGATATGCTTGACCAATCCACCAGTATTGGTGCCACCCGTTGAAGGAAAACCTCTGATCTTATATCTGTCAATACTCAAAGAATCCATGGGATGTGTGCTCGGTCAACAATATGAAACAGGGAAAAGGGAGTGAGCCATATATTATCTCAGCAAAAAGTTCCTAGACTATGAGACCGATTATACGCCATTCGAAAAAAACATTTTGTGCATTGGTGTGGGCAACTCAACATCTCCGAAAATACATGGCTCGACATACAACATGGTTGGTCTCCAAAATGGACCCAATCAAGTACCTTTTCGAAAAGCCCATCTTGACCGGAAGAATAGCTAGGTGGCAAGTGCTCCTCTCAGAATTCAATATCATTCATGTCACCTAGAAAGCTATTAAAGGTAGTCCCCTAGCGGACTATCTAGCACATGGATCGACAAACCAATATCAATCCCTGCAAGACGACTTTCCCGATGAACATATCATGCCATTGAACACAAAGAGACCAAAGAAGATGCATGGACTATGTTTTTCGATGGAGCCTCAAACATGCTTGGACATTGGATCGGAGCCATTTTGATATCCCCAGAAAAGAAATATATCCCGATAACGGTCAGCTTAAACTTTGCTTGTACAAATAATATGACCGAAAACGAAGCCCGTGCATTGGGA